GTAGAAAGTAGCTGGAAAGGACTTACACAGTAGGAATGATGAAAAAAGGTGTTCACAGTTCATAAGTGTAAATGGAAAATGACATTTGAAAGTCTTATCTACAGGCTGTTATCAACCTTTTAACAGAACTAATGAACACTATTCTTCTTGTGTTGGCTAGCTTAGGTATCACAGAAGGCTTAGTTTCACAGGTAATAGAGTCCTCTTAAGTAGAGGTCTTACTTAGGGTCTAAAGAAGTGATAAATGAATGACTTTTTAAAAATCTTTGATTCTAAGGACTACCAAGACAATGAAAGGTAGATTTCTTTTTTTTCCCTTATTTTTTTTCAGCTTTACTGAGGTGAAATTGACATAGTAATTATATACATATATTTAAAGTGTACAACTTGATGTTTTGATATAGGTGTTCACTGTGAAATGACTACCACAATCAAGCTAATTAACATCCATCGTCTCACATATAATCACCACTTTCTTTCTTTCTTTCTTTTTTTTTATGGTGAGAACATTTAAGATCTATCCTATTCACCTTGACTCAGGATCTTAACCCAACTACCAGTTGTGTGCTTTGAGCGAATGCGAATACTTAACCACCCATCCCTGACCTGCAAAATGAGGATACTACCAGTATTTTTTGGAAACAAAATGAGGTAATATCTTGCCAATGGGTTTCAGCCCCAGACAAGTTGACTATGGTCTCAATGTGACCAAAGAAATGACAGTAGAATATTCTTGGGGTGAAAAGGCTATACCCATCTTTATTCCCATGCTGGCAGGTCAATCACTAGAATCACATCCACTCAGGGAGGGGAGGGATGCAGCAAGCCAGTCTCTGCCTCTGGAACACTACCCGCACAGCCATCTAAGTCTCTGCCCTTGGTGCTGTCACCACTCCAGTCTCCTCTCTGCTCTCTTGCAGCCTTGCAGCCATGCCATGGTGTCTCTCAGAGTACTGGGTGGAGCTCTTTATATATAGAGGCAATAATGATGTATTGCCCACATGTGTGTAGTGAGCTAGCCAACCAGGGCCAGGTGAGAATCCTGGCCATAGGAAACTTCACTTTATCCACCCTCCACCCCTCCAGGATTCTTGCCTCTCAATCTATGTGCCCTCAATCCTCTGCAATGGTCCCTGTGCAAATGAAGTGGAAGACTGTAAAAGAACCATGGTGGGCCTTATAATACCCACCTTCTCCAGCAGAAAGTCCTGCAGACACACAGGCCGATCTTGTTGCTTTCTCTGGCTTCTGCTTCATCCTCAGTGGCCAGAACCGCTGCTCTGGTCTCAGTTGTTGCCACATCTCCAGTAAGATTCTATTTGACTTTCCATCCAATTTCTTTCTGTCTGCTCTTGCCTTCTCAAGTCAACCCATATCTGGGTCCTCATGACCTTCACAGGGCCCTTTAAATTCTTCCTTTGGGAAGCAGACCATATTTCCTTCTGTGCTTGAGGCTGTTTGTCAAACTTCTGCTCCTCCATTTCTGGGGCTGATGGCTCCACTACATTCTTCACCTGCCCCACAGCACCTGACAGCCTGTACTCCTGTGCTGCTTCTCATGCCACTCTTTCTTGGGTTGCTGCTCCTTCTCATGCTGCTTCCTCTCAGGCTACCATGATATCCTTTACCATTTCCACAGCACTTTGTAGACTTTGTAGTGTTGCCATTTCAGTCACCAACAAATCTTCTTTCTCTTGGGGTGAAGCCCAGTCATCCACACCTTCACAGTACCACATACCCATTGGGGGACACTTGAATATCTCCCCGTCCACAGCCCACTGAAACACTCCTCCAATGAGGGCAGCCTGTTGTTTTTCCTTGGTCAACAATGAGTCCTGCTGATTACACCAATTGTCTTGCCAATGGGTTTCAACCCCAGACAAGTTCACTATGGATTCAATGAGACCAAAGAAATGACAGTAGAATGTTCTTGGGGTGAAAGGGTTATACCCAACTTTATTTCCATGGTGGCAGGTCAATCACTAGAATCCCATCCACTCAGAGCGAGTCTCCATGCAGCAAGCAGTCTCTGCCTCGGGGCCTCTCTACCCAGGCAGCTGTGTCAGTTTCTGTCCTTGGTGCTGCCAGCACTCTAGTCTCGTCTCTGCTCTCCTGCAGCCTTGCAGTGGTGCCACCATGTCTCTCAGAGCACTGAGAGGAGCTCTTTATATAGAGTCAATAACGATGTATTGCCCACATCTGTGTAGTGAGCTACCCAACCAGGGCCAGGTGAGAATCCTGGCCATAAGAACCTTCACTTTATCCACAGGTAACATGTAAATGCCAGGTACAGCCTGGCACATAGTGAGCACCCTACTGACTACATGTATTGACATGGACCAGATACTAGGGCTGCTTCAAAGGACCAAAAATAACAGCCTGGACAGTGATTGTCAATTTGAAATACCTAAATTCCTAAAACATATGAATGTAGTAATAGAGAAATCTTGCAATTGTAGCCTAATATTTCTTTCCAATGGGTTTCTAGTAAGTTCTGAGAACTTACTAGTTGAACAGTTTTTTAAAAAAGACATCCAATTAGATCTATAGAAAAATAGCTTTAGAAGATACAAAGTAAATTAAATTGTTAATCTGTTCTAAATGAGTAAAAATGGAAGTACAAAATTTGTATTTGCAGGTTAAGCTCAAAGGTCTTATTCTAATAACTCTTCTGATATGTCTTAAGTCACTTTACCAGTTTGCCCAAAATGGTGATTAAATATACATTGTCTGCAAGAAACTGAGCAAGTCCTTTAATATAATCAATGAATCAGAGGAGCACCTGGTTTTCATCTTCCCTTATCTAACTTTCTGTTAACACTTCCTCATAAATCCTGAACAAATCCTAAACTTCAGTGCTTCCACATTATATATATACACACACACACACTCAAACTTTATCATTAGTGCAGTTAGGAAAAAACTTTTTTTTCTTTTGAATGCATGCATAATCATAAGATAGAGCACCTAAAAAATACGTGTTTCTCTTTTCATAAGTAATAGGGATGCAGATAAATTTGACTTTGGTCTTGGTATTTGGCCCAAGGCCTCTTTTTGGCAAAGCATTTAGTCAGTCTTCCAAAGGCCTAGGCCAATCTGATTATCATTTCTGGTATTCTGGTATTCATAAACTTGTGTGTGATTAATAATGTGACTGCACAGTTTCCATAATATCTAATGAGTATGACAATCTCAGTAATTAGAATAAGTATGTCGTTCAGATTTACTGTTATTACCTGAACATTCACTTTCAAATATAAGCATTCTAGCAGAAATGGAGTGGAATGTCCTTATGTGCTTATCAGTTAATAGAAGGATAAAATGCTGCAGTATCTAATGATGCTGTGAAAACTGTTTATATATAAAATAATTTTAAAAATTTCAATTATTTAGCAAACGGACTGAAGTTAATACAAATACTGAATACATTATATAGATTACTTTCTCAAGAACATTACGTCTTGGAAAAATGTTTATAACAATTCAAATAATCTAAGACAGAATAGAGATTAGATTTTATCATAATTCAATCTTTGTAGAATGGTAGTACGTACTAGCATAAGATTAAAAAAAATAACCTTTAAGAGCTATATTTAAGTCTGAGTTATTTACTTCCATTTGAGTCATAAATCTTCCAAGAAATAGTTCTGTTGGAAATTCTTTACATCTTCTGATGATGAATTAAAAACAGTGTCACCTCAAAATACAATGAGTTGCAAAAATATCTAAATTTTGTAAATAACAAATATGCAATAATCCAAATATAATCTCTAATCAAAATAATTAAAAATGTAAAGAGAAAAACTGAGGTAACCCAAAAACATTTTGTTTAGACAAGTTTCACAACAAAGTGACTCTACAAGAACATCTTAAGCCAACTCCAATAGTCTTCCGTCTATAAAGGGTAAATATTTAAACATAAAGTGTTACAAATGCTCCTTCCTTTTCAGTAGCTGAAGAATTTCTGAGCTTCACTGCAACTATAAATCCTAACTCCTATTAAATTCTGAGAAATGCTTTCCTGATTAACTCTGTGGCACACAAAAAGGTTAGTGATGTTTTTAAATGTATTAGTTGAAAGTGAATGTCTATTTACTGTTAGTGACATACTGTACAGTGGCTGCAAGAGAAATCTGACAGTGGACAGTACCAAGAAATTGTTCTTGTACATAATTTAAAATTTTTTAAATATTGCTGCTACTATTGACAACAATAAGCCATACTAATAACTAATTATATGAATGAAATGATTCTTCTACCCTAGAAGTTCATTCTGTATTGGTGCTGTCTGCTTTAGGCACAAGCAAATATTTTAATATCCAGTCATTGGCATTTGGTCAAAATGTATATTTAGCATACCTTTACTGATAGGGTATTTAGAGGCCTACTCCTGTGTTTCTTGGTCCAGAACATAGTCCTAGCCTGGTTAAATAGTTTTACCTTGATAGTTTTAGAAAAATCCCATCTGTTGTACTTCACATTGCTATTCTCTAGTCTTCCTTTCTTTATTTCTTATCATTTCACATCTGTTCCATACAATTTAACATTAAATTACCCAGTGTTTTGTGTTGTTCACTGTGTTCACCCTATCTTTTCAAAGGAAAGGTGTTCCTTGTGGAGGGACATAATGCTTCTTTTGTATTGTCCATAGAGCCAGGCACAGTGCTGGTCACCTGACATATATTTACTAATTCACTATGATCCAAGACATTACTAACCACCTTTGTGTCTCAGGTATCATTTTCTTTCTTAATTTTAGGCTATTCTATAAATAAACTATCCAAATCTAAATATATCAAGGTTTGAGCAAATAAGGGGTTGCATTTAACAAACTACAGAAGTAATGCTGTTTAGTGGAGAAAATAGAACACTGTATTTAGATCTAAGACACCGAAGGTAAGCCACTTACTTTCTTCCTGCCTTAGTCCACCCATATATTCTGCAAGGCAACCACATAAAATCAAACAGCTGAGAAGAAAAATCAAAATATTAACACTAACCTGAAAGTTTGGACAAGATTTTTAAGCTGTGTGTAAATATCTCCTATTGTAATCTGAAGAGGTTCCAAAAGTCCAGGCAAGCTGCAAATAAAAATATTTCTTTTAAAATATAATTTAATCAAACAGATACCTTTTTTTAGGTCTTGCCTAAGTCTGGATTTCCCATAGGTAATAATGGCACTTAGGTGAAGGCAGTTGAGCTAGGTTATGACTGGAGAGAAATAACAAGGAAATATTTCATAATAAATCCACACTCTACTTTGTAGTCTATGCTACAGTGTAAGGCACTAAAATGAAAAATATCATTTTGGCTGCTATATTCTTGTCTCTACTTTTTCTTACCACTTTACTTTCAAATATAGGACAAAATGGAAAGAACACAAGGTTAGAAGAATAGTCCTCTAAACGGTACAGTTTGGGAGTGTGGCATATTTCTCCTCATTAACTCCTTATGGTAGGAGTAAAAGTTGGTACATTTCTAGAGAGCAATTTGACAATATATATTAACATTTTAAATGTGGATACTCTTTGAATCAATGGTTTTACTATGAAAAAAGTTATTCTAAAACAAAATCAGATGTTGCAGAAATATTTTTAGTAGTGAAAAAATGGAAACAAATGTCCATCAATAAGTGATTCATTAAATTATGACATACCCATATAATGAGATATAATACAACCTTTGAAATGATAATGTGAATCTATATTTTTTTCACTGTGGGAAGATACTCATGATAAATGTTAAGTGAAAATGCATATGTAGTATTATCTCATTTTTATAAAAATATATATTACATAATGCTATTACATGATACATAGTATTTATCAAACATGTTTCATTCCTTCAAGGTTTATAACAGAGGGAACTAAAGGAATAAAATTTACATGTACTATATATATATATATATATATATATATATATATATAT